CATATATACACTGACCATCGTGCAGTACAATACAATGCGCCTCTTCATGATAATATTATATACTTATTGTGACTATATGGCAGGTATCACCATCGGGGTATTTGTTTTCGATCATATAATAATAATAATAATACCTAAGAGTGGACGTGCGCGTGCGCAAGATATTATTGGGTAGAAATTATGAATATATTATGACGTACATATAACATATATACGTATATTTTTCTATTTCTTTACGACAACGTCCATGTATAATAATTACACGACGGACTCGTACATGTCGGATGATGTACACGCRCTGGGGCATTCTATTGTTTCGAGCTCCGTACAGCACCCCCGACGATCATAATCTCAGTGTGAGATGGTATTTACCGCATTATGTATATAATATATACATTACTGGCGACCATTAACTACGTAAATAACGCACGCTGGGTGAGGATATAGTAATGCACGTCGTTATATTACAATAATGTATTTTATGCGCGGTTGTGTTTAACGCATCATAGTAATATAAATATTATTTAGGTACTCCAGGCGAAGGTTCTTTTTGTTCGTCCGACAGATTTTTTTCGAGAAGAGTAAAATGCATGATATAATAATATACATGTAAATTATAATCATATTACAAACAATTCGATTCGACGGGAGTACCTATACATAGTTAATCGAATTATTTTGAAATCATCATTTACTCTCAGATTGCCGAACTTGAGATTATAATGATGATTATGCGGCCAAGCGCTAGTCGCAAACTGCAGTACATCACACATTCTAATAATAAACGCGACGAATGGTTGATAATCGACGTCGCGGTAACCTGTTATTTATTTTCAGTGACCAGCCGTGGTCTACCCACGAACGTTTCGTTGTAAAGGTTGTCGTTATACACTGATTCTTTGTAAAGTTTATATGGTTTAGAATATTTTTTAGTAGCCCGACAGTGTTTTACAAGGTTTTTAGTACCATCCGAAATCGTGAAAAAATAGGTATCATCAATTTATTTTTTTTAATGTTCATTTAACAATATTGATACACAAATAAACGTCTGTAAAACGTGTGCCCTTAAATCGGATAAATTAATAGCATGCTGTACTTGAGGTCTTGGACTATATGGATAATTATATTATTTATCAAACCGAAACCTATTCATGTAATTTACCTACAGGTATAAGGTTACTAGACTCTTGTTTTTTTATCCACTCAAAGACAACATAACGGTTCGTACAAATCAAATCAAGTTCCATTCAGTGCACCATTCCGTTTTCAATTAAACCTTGCATCAGTTGCATCGTATTCGTAAAGTCACTTCAACTAATTAGTAATTTGTCACTCTGTACGAATTAAGACGGCTAATTGTACACCCAAACGTGTTTAGTGTAGGTACTTATAAATGTTCCTAGACGTGCGCAAACCTTGTTGGTAGGAGTGGAGGGTAAAATGTTTGGTAGCACAATCCGTGGTCAAATTATTACTATTAATGTATTTTTAAAAATAATGTATTAATGTCRGTTAATCAGTCATAGTTTTAGATATATGATATTCTATAAAAAAAAATGTATTACGATTGATATTGAGTTATATTATAATTGGAGAAAAAAATTAGCTCGCAGAGGGGCAGAAGCGCACCCGCTCCTTTCCGTACACACGCCCATGATGATTATATCGTATTAGTATTCTCGATGGACGTAATCAGGCGCGTGTTCAAAACTCACGCATTTTGCGTGATTAAAATATGTCGGCACCTATATAATATCATATTATATTATATGCATGATATACCAGAATAAAATCGATTATAGATCAACCATATACTTTGCTAAATATGCAGACACTACCGGGAAATCTTGAACTTGGTCTATAACATTATTTTCCATAGACTTACACTGTACCTATACATATATAATTTATTCCTTGAACTTGACGGTCGAATTATGTATATCTCGCAGTATAATAATATGGTAACGCGCGTCACTAGTTATTGTTTTCACGCCGAACTAATCGATTTATTCACGCCTATTGCACACTGTGCCAACTCGCAGTGTCCCGCTCGACAAACGGACGATTGTCCATAGTTGTACGTTTTGTTTGAGCTATCTCTCGAAAGATACAAACACATTAGTTTTATATATATATATATGTGTATGTGTGTTCCGAGATCTGGCGAAAAACGTCCATATATACGTTTCCGTCGACGCAGTGATTTTAATGCGATCACGATTAATACAATCGTCCGAGAGCACTTTAAAGAACTAAAATCACGACCTAAGGGTGAATGACTGCTCGTGCCCCATGTTCAAGCTGGTGGCAAGTTCGATATTGTGTGTAATGTGTTCATAGTATCTACAATAATATATAATAAATACTGTATAGCATATATTATTATGTATATGCAGTGTGCACCCGCGTACGCGCTATGTATAATAATAATAATATGTAGTATACACTGCAACAATCGCAGTGACAACATCTAGTTACAATTAGTTTTAAAAAACCATCGCTGAACCAAGTTGTATAAGAGTCGTGAGTTTAAAAAAARCGGCTTTTATGTATAATAAWTAATAAAGACATAACGCGTAGCGTAACACGGTAGTAATAGGATAACAAAAGTCGAATACAACACATAATTCACTAGTTGTATTGTATATATTTTCCTGGTTATAAATTTTAATGATCTACCAAAATTGAAAAAAAAATTAAATCATTAAATACGCATATGTGTGTATTATACAGAATCAATAAAAAGATTAAATCGCACTGATATAAATCCTAAGTAGTTATTATATATGTTTGTATATATCTACTAATAGATTTTGCAAACGGCATGTTGGAATGTTAATATTCTATGGTATTCGCAGCAGAGTATTGAAAAACCATATACACGAACTTAGAAATTATGCTCACAAAACTAGTTTGCTTCAAACAATATAATATATAGGAACCTACCTCCACCAGTAATCTTGACTCAAGCCGATTGCGAGACGAARAAACCAGTTATTCCTTTCGCTTGTCTGGCGATATATATCCTATACGGAGACTATAGCTTTATATACGTACGATAATGGTCAGTGCAGTCTATATAAAATATACAATAATATACTGCGGTAATACATCATATACAAGAAATTATGGAAAAATTTAATTTTTCATCGTTATATCGATTCCATGCATTGATAATAGTACCTATACGTATTATTCCGGTTAGGTTAGGTTATCATATTTTTAGGGTATAGAACTATAGACCACCGATAATGTGAAATTAATACAACATTATTGTATATTTTATTATTATAATATGAAGCCAAATGTGTTTTTGCTTATTATATTACGTATCAAAGTTAAAATTATTGGTAATTGATAAAAAAAAATACTCTTCRCTAGTGTTATAGTGTACATTCAATAATATTTTGCAGTCCAAACATTTACGTTAAGAAACAATAATATTAAATGGTTAAGAAAATTAAATTAAATACAACTATATTAAAAAATTAACATTCAAATGCATAGTTTAGCAAATCTCAGCTTCAAACAATACTCAAACTCACCGTATGATCTTATGTCATAATAATACATCATGTTTCAAGTATTATAACCATAACGCATTTCAATATAATATTACAACAATATTGGTGGAGATAAAAGAACCGAAAAAATGAATCATACAAATTATGCAAATCTCAAATATAAATTATTAATGTATAGGCGTCTGGTGGATCTACCCACGAATTACAGGTCAGTGAACAGCAAATAGGTTTGCCTTTCCTAAATTACTATGTCATAAATAATTTACATTTATTTAAAAAAAGAGTTGTAGATTTTTTTAAACATTTTAAACACATATTCCTTCATAAAATATCTGTGAAAATCATATATGGAAATATCGCTAGAAGCGTATAACTATAATATTTATATACGCATACTTAATACGTTATACATTATACAATAAATAATACATCCATTTTGTTTTGATAATAATGAAAAACCATGTATTTGTATTCAATTATAACATCAAACTTTTATATTGAAATAAAATACTATTGTTGAGCCGTCTCCCTTTTTGCTTGAAGGATAAAATAAATTATAAAATTATGAAAACATAGTGTAAAATGTATGCACAACCTTCCAGTCTATATACCTCAAGAACGCTTTTATTAAAATACACATTGTTTAGCCTAACGACGAACGTCGAAAAACAGGTGATTAACATCGACCTTCGGTCAAAATTAAAAATCTTTATTWTCAAACTTGTATTTCGTGACTTTCCATCAGTAAAATTTCCATTAAAATTATTATTAATTTAAAAAAACACATACACATACACTCAATATTGTTACCTACCATTCAAAATGTGCTTCCGTGATTACTTTTAAAATATAATTGCARGTGACATTATAATGAGATTTATTCGTATTCATCAGTTTGATTTGCGAGATAATTCAAAATTTAAAAATAATAATTAGATAAATAGATCACTGGCAATAAAGACTAAAGTGTATGTATATACCGTATCTCTTATTTGTGCAGACATTAAGTAAGATTTTTTTTGCATTGGTGAATCATTTCTTTTTTAATATTCAAACCGGTTTCAATCACTATTTAAAACTAGCATAATAGTAATTTCAATACTTTCCCCTCGGTTTCGATATTATGATGATTGGACATTTGATCGAAAATGAAAGTCGAGTACAAATTTAGGATCGTATGTAATTTATAATAACCTAAAAGTACTGAAAGACAATTTTCTGACAATTTTGAATTTAGTTGATAGTTTTCAGTTTTGAAAATATATTAATACTATGAGTATATTTTGATACAATATATTCCTAAGTAAGTATTTGTATTAACTTTTACAATTCTACTTTCAATAGTTTGTAATTTGAAACAAGTTCAGTTACACAGTCTATAATTTAAAATGAAATGATATATCTATTTCGGGTTAATTATGATATAAGTCAAAACCCAAAAGAATATTGGTCATATAATATTGGATTGTTACTTACCAAACTTATCAGTTGCCACAGCCATAACACTGCAGACAGGACGCATTTCATTTTCACTGCAAAAAAAAAACAAATTAGACTTTATTAGTGACGTCTTAATATAATAATAGTTTCACTATTTATAATAATCATACACGATAATCAGCGATAAAAATTTAACATTAGTAGGTAGTTCATTAATGATTATTGATCGTTGAATAACTTATCCGGTTGCCAATCACACATTTTAATCAGCACATTATAATCGTTTAACGGGTTAAATATTATACAAAACGTATGTGTCGTGACAAGTCATTTTGATAATTACTATACTTTCCAATTTACAATTTTAATATAATTTGAATGAAAAACCACTTCGTGATTAACGCTTATTGGTAGCGTATTGTACCTACATATCATATACTTTTTTTTAAATCTGGGCCAATTTGTGAGAAGGGGAGGGTAGGAACAACTGTCATGCCAAATACGAAACACGCCTTCGTATCACCCACGAAATCTTTCACTGAGCATACACCCATATATCATAGTGTTATTTTTTCACTTTCTATTGGCTAGGTAGATATTTTTGAAAACAATTGTCCGTTTGTTATATCTGTTCTTAAACGAATGTATACATAATAAACACTGGTACACATTTGAATAATACTTATAAGTAACTATACTAACAGTACTAACTACTTATATACGTACTACGTAGACACGTAGATCTAAACCTGTAAACGAAATTAGAATTGACAGTTTGGCCTTTACAATATTATTAGTTATTACATTATCGTCTTCAATATAATATAGTATGAATCAACGTTTGGTTATAATAATTTGTGTAGGTATGTATATTATGTCAAAGACGAATGTTTTTCAAAACATTATTGTAAATGTCAATAATAATTTTTTATAATAGTAGTTATAGACTACTGTTGTAGTGTATGCACTATGCAAATATTTATACAAACATAAAAAAAAAATTAACTATATGAATAAATTTGAAAATTTAATGAGTATTCTGCCAAGAACACTAAAAAAGGTACGGAAGTAATACTAATCGGTTTAAAAAATATATATTATAGCGTAGGCAACTAGTAATAAAATAAACGTGAGTTTGTATAATACCACTCACATGTCTTATAAATAGAAATATTTAGGATTCAAATATTGTAAAATATACCGTAAAGTTGAGATTACGGAYATTTCATCATATTACACTTAGCACAGAGAGGCAGAACGGAATTTTCCCACATTTGTACTTTTAAGTATACGCATACCATATATTAAGCTATAATAATTATAGAGTAGGTATCTAAGAGTCATATAAAACGCGTGCATTTTATTCATGTGCAATATAATATAATTATATTATATAGTTATGTAGGTATGTATATGATGAATTCTTTTTATTATAAAATAAAAAAAAAAATGAGGAGATTCAGTCTGGTGGTTGATCGCATCATTATTTTGTCTGTAATATATTAAGGTACATTAGTTCATGTATACACTATTAAATTATCAGGATCGAATAGTTAATTTTTTGCGATTTTTTCATCCCTGCCGCTATATTATGGCGTATATATCTACTTTTCGCTTTTATATTATAATATATACGAGTACCTACAACCACCTGCGTATCACGTAGGGGAATCGAACTATACGATGTTCGCTCGGTGGTCTCCGACGACTGACCTTATCGTACAGAATATATCCGGCTAGGCGTATTTACATATCGACGGGGCACGGAAAATGCTTTATCGTATTTATTATTTGTTTGTCTCGTCGACGATTTTCCACTAGTGTACATAATAGTATATACGTATTGATAAGTACGTATCGTGCAGCGCTCTGTAACCGCGTGTTTGTATAAAAACTAGTAGGCGGATGTCTCTCGTGTGGTTTCAACAATGTCAAAGACCTGCATTCGGATTCACTTCATCAGGTATGCAGCCACTGCAGGCTATGTCCTATCTAGTATATATACCAGCTACAMGTATATGATAAGTCGTACTCAGTGGCGTAGAGTGCACTACTGTTGATGACTGCCGACATTGGTGTCCTTGAACGTTTCTGGTCGTCAAATCGACCGAATATATATACGTACATAAATATTTTTTATCCACCGTAATTAGGTACCTACTATTACGACAATCAGGCGACAGTKTTTTTCCCCTATTGTTAAGAAAATCTAAAAGAAATATAGGAAAAAACCATGGATTTGTCTGTCAGTAGAAAATCMCCACTCGTTCAATTTTAAACCAATAATTGTGGTCGCTGTATAAATCCGATTATTATTACGTCGCCCGTACATATTAATCGCAGAAACTCAATTGAGAATACCGTATCTTTAATTTAGTGATGAATTGACGTGGATTCAGAAGTTAGCGGTCGACGACACTCTGAATATAAGACACCGCGACGTAGTTGAGATGGTTAATATACTATAATTTGTGTTCAAAAAAAAAAAAAAACAAATCCTTATTTTTCTTCTCGACTTCTGGTGTGCAGGACTGCAGCAGTGCAGCACAGCAGCCGACTATTATATTATTACAACAGCAAACAGTTTACGGAACACGTCGTTTTTGTCAGTCTATAAGAACCTGCAGGATAACTATATATACCTACTATTATACGTGTGTTTTCCTGCTGCTATATACAGTCCAGTCCTCACGGCGTGTTATGTACCTATATACGAGACCACCGTTACTACATCACAGCAATCACAAGCGACGGGCAAAGTCAATGTATTTCGAGATTTATCGTCGGGTACCGATATGGAGGCGGAGGTGGTGGTGTTGCGTGCACTGCATGAGGTGGTGTGGAACTACCGCCGTGAAGTTGACAATCGGTATGCGCACAAAGGTCAAAGAGGCCGAGGAACACGAGGGCAGGTGCAAGTGGTCCATATGAAAAATGAGTGCCCTGCATGCATTTAGGTATACGCCTAGTTGCATATATACAGTTTTGATATAAGTATTGTATAAAATATCAATATAATATATCGTGTTCCATTTAAAGGGTAACATATGAAATATCTTTTACTAGCTGCGCAAGACCTAGCTCTGGTTTCAATCGGGTTGTTTGGTGAAAGTAAGGAGAATCCGAATAACGCGTCTTGGGAAAGTTTCGAATTTTCAACCCTCTCGATGGGCATTTACGCAATATGAGTTGAAATTCATCAGATCAATTTCGATCCACCTATTATACCGTATAGTATTTACTATAAATTCAATATATTTAAAATACTCGTGTAACCAGTTTTTATTAAATTGTTCACGTCATATAAATATCTACGATATTATAATCCCTATAGTTTCAAAATAATTTTTGTCGTAAAAATAAAGTACTTTAATAGTTAAGGGACACCAATAATTAATCTTCTACGTAAAACGTTTCATCGCCAATGTTATTTGCTACAATTTTAAGTAGGTAGGGATGTCAATCTTTACGATATAATAATATATAAACTGCAAAGTATAGGTATATCTATTATAGTGTACTGTCTTATTGTCAGGATCTTGTTGGATGACTCTAAATATCCTCATTATCTACGCGGATTCATAGAAATTGTTGTAATTATGATTATTTGAACAAAAAATTGCGGTTTTCCGCAAGGTCGAGAACCTGGCCAGTCGTGAAGCGCGAAGATGAGGTCCACTGTGAACGGACGCATAATGTCTTGTCGTGGATTAACGAAGCGACACGTAAATATTATATATTATGCGTACATAGTCATTCGCCGGAATAATGTAGTATGACATGTCAAGTTTTGATGAGAGGAGGAGGAGGTATTACCTATAATTAATATAAATATCTTCTCGGGATAAACGCGTATACGAACCTACCTAATTATTAGACGAAATTTGTTCGACGGTTGATGTTAGTTTTTGGTGCAAGTAGTATAATTTTTATAARACGATAATATTATTAAATAAGTTATAATCTATAATTCAAAATGCGAATTAATATTGTAGAAAGTAGGTACGACTATATATAGGTGCACGCGAAAATATTATACAAAAATGATACAATAGTATTATACTTATTTGCATAATCCGACCCACCGATACGTGCTATAGTCATTAATGCCTATCGTAAAGTGTATTGAGTTGGAAAGTTTCTTGAAAAGTGTGCGGCGGGCGCGGTCTCCAGGCGCAAGGCCGCGGCGAACCAGTTGCCACGCGCGTCGAGTAGGTAGCCGACTAATGCATTTTTTTTTAAATTTCCGTTCCGGTAAATTCTCGGCGTTTCGAATTTTGAATAATTGTTTACCCATCATGTCCATAATTATATTGCGTCACATGAAATTTTTTGCAGATCTATTCACCGATACGGTTGCTGCAGATGAAAGCACCTGCACTGGGTCGCGTGCATGTACAAACACGATGGCGCCGATTTTAAGACTAACCTACACACGTTATTACGTTAATTTAATACAATTTTTTCTTTCGCACACAATACCTACGCCTCGTGTGTAAATTTTTTCACTGAGCCTCGGTATTATCTTACGAATGTTCAAGGACTGGAATATAATAGTTGCAATCCGGATGAAAATGATTACGCATTAATTATTGTTGCTGCACTTATATTTACAATATGTATTATGTATATATTATAAATTATAATAGTAGGTATACCTACATAATACGAGTATATTATGCCATAAGCGTAGGAATCAAACAATTATCCTGATTCGATCGCGATATTGCTGTAAAAACTATAAGTGTCTGACGTCGATGACTTACCTAGCTGTCGTACTTAAAGCTAACAGAACTGAAATATTTTTGATTTTTTTTAAAGATAGATTGCAGTATGCCCATGATGATATACGAGTATTGTAGCTGATTTGGCATGTTATATATAAGTATAATAAACGCCAAACGGTAATAACTTCGTCGACTAAAGTTTAATATTTTGTGAGAAAAATTATTATTTGTCCAATGTCAAATGACTCAACGGTAATTGGCTTTTAACAAACAATGCCATTGCATAACGTTGCACAAAAATAAACATTACTAATTATTATTATAAGGATAACGAGTTCTAAAAAACAATTTTAAAGATTTTTTTT